GCATCTCTAAGCTGGACAACAATTTTTGAGTCTCTTCTGACATTCATTTTGGTCTTTTATTTCTTTCTTGTCTTCTTAATAACCTTTTGATTTCTTCTTATATGGTGTTCTTGATGTCATCCCAGAACTCTTCTGGTCTTTGGTCATTAGTGTCTAATGGATCAAATCAATTCTTGAGATGATCTCTAAATTCAAATTGGGTATGTTCAAGGTCATATTTTGGCTCTTGTGGACTTGTATTAATTTTCTTCAGCTTCAGCCTGAACTTGCATATGAGCAATTGATGGTCTGTTATACAGTCTGCCCTTGGCTTTGTTTTGGCTGATGATATGGAGCTTTTCGACCTTGTCTTTCCACAGATGTAGTCAATTTGTTTTCTGTGCATTCCATCTGGTGAGATTCATGTGTATAGTCATCTTTCATGTTGTTTAAAAAAGGCATTTGCAATGAAGAAGTCATTATAAAATTCTGTCATGTGATCTCCAGCATCATTTCTATCACCAAGGCCATATTTTCCAACCACTGATCCTTCCTCTTTGTTTCTAACTTTGCATTCCAATCACCAGTAGTTATCAATACATCTTGATTGCATGTTTGATCAATTTCAGACTGAAGAAGTTGGTAGAATTTTTCAATTTCGTCCTCACTGGCTTTAGTGCTTGGTGCGTAAATTTGAAAAATAGTGGCATTAAGTAGTCTTCCTTGTAGGCACATGGATATTGTCCTCTCACAGACAGCGGTGTACTTCATGATGATCTTGATATGCTGTTTTTGATGATGACTGCAACACCATTCCTCTTCAGTCTATCACTCCTGGCATAGTAAACCACGTGATTGTCACATTTAAAGTGGCCAGTACTAGTACATTTCAGCTCACTAATGTGTAGGATATCGATGTTTATATGTTCCATTTAATTTTTGACAATTTCCAATTTTCCTAGATTCATACTTCGTACATTCCATGTTCCAATTATTAATGAATGTTTACAGCTGTTTCTCTTCATTTTAAGTTGTGCTCCATCAACAAATGTAAGTTCCAAAGGCTTTACTCCATTCGTGTCATCACGGTCAACTCTATTTTGAGGAGGCAGCTCTTTCCCAGTCGCATGTTGAGTGCCTTCCATCCTGAGGGGCTCATCTTCCGACACTATATCTGACAACATTCTGATGCTCTTCATCATGTTTCAATATTCAATATTCTGGTGCTGACAGTGTTCAACTGCTACTCATAAGGTTTTCTGTGACTAAACATTCAGAAGTTGTCTGTCTCTTTTTCTTCCTAGTCTGTCTTTAGGTTTTAGCTCAGCTAAAACCTGTCCACTTTGGGTGACCCTGCTGGTATTTAAAATACCAGTGGTATAGCTTCCAGCATCACAGCAACACAGAAGCCACCACAGTACGACAAACTGACAGATGAGTTACAATACTTTATCAATAGGGTAAAACTGAAGTAGAAGAGGAAGAAAAAGGATCCCATGGATACTGTAAACATTGAATCCAAAACACCTGCTGCTGAATCTATTCTGACTCATAGTGATCCTCTACTGGATTTCTGAGGCTGTAAATCTTTACCAGAGCAAAAAAATCTCATCTTTCTCCTGCAGAACGGATGGTAGTTTCAAATTGCTGACCTTGAGGATAGTAGTCTGGCTTGTAACCACAACACCAACCTAGCTCCTTAGTGACACTGTGTTGTTGTTAAGTGCCGTTGAGTTGATTCCTACCGTAACAACCTTGCAGTTCAAAGCAACTTTGCAGTCTAGTGCATTAACCTACATTGCCATGACCCTACGGTGGTGGTGGTGGTGGTAGTGTGCCGTGGAGTCGGTTTCGACTTATAGCGATCTTGCATAGGGTGTCTGAGGCTGTGAACCTTTACAGGAGCAAAAAGCCTCATCTTTCTCCCACGAAACAGCTGGTAGTTTCGAACTGCTGGCCTTAAGGTTTGCAACCTGATTCGTAGCCACTACACTACCAGAGCTCCTTATGACCCTATAGGAGAATGTAAAACTGCCCCATACGGTTTCCAACGCTATAAATCTTTACAGGTGCCGATTGCCCCACCTTTCTTTACACAGAACAGCAGGTGAGTTCAAACCATGAATACTTTACCCATTGCACCTCCAGGGCTCCCCAAAAATTAAATCGCTTTTGTGGAACTCCCATTCTAGTGGGGGAATGTAAAAGAGACATGTACTGAGTACTCAGCATATGCCAAAGCTCTGCTGGCCACTCAGGAGGCTGACCCTCACACTCATCTATGATCCCATGTTAGAGGTGGTGACTCAGAGGTTCAGAGGGATGCATGACACAAAGTTAATAAATGGCAGTGATAGAAATGGAATCCCAAGCCCTTCTGATTTGTTGTTCTGTATGTAAGTTAAGGAATCCTGGTGTGGCACTGTTGGATCAGCACTGGACTGTTAACTGAAAGGTCAGCAGCTCAAATCGACCAGCTTTTCCTTGGAAATCCTATACAGGGTCACTAAGAGTGGAAACTGACTCAACAGCACTTAACAACAACAACAATAATCATGTAAGTTAAGATTCGAAGTTGAAATCACTTGAAGATCATTTATACCAACTATGAACAAGAGACACTGAATATAAAAACCATGATCACAGAGGACTTATTCATCAAAGGCTGGACTGGCAAGTTCTGAGGACCCACAGGAACTCTGATTGTTCCTGCTGTCAGGTGCCGTTGCGTGATTCTAACTCACAGGTCCGTTATACACAACAGAACAAAACACTGCCCAGCCCTGCACCATCTAACTCACAGGCCCGCTATACACAACAGAACAAAACACTGC